AAAAAAATTAGTAATATCTATTACTTTTTTTTTCTCTTTTGTGGTGCTGAGGATTGAACCCAGGGCCTTGTGCATGCGAAGCAAGCACTCTCCCGACTGAGCCGCATCCCCAGCCCAGTAACATCTGTTACTTTTTGACATGATTAAGTGTGGTGTGTGGAGGGTGGTCCTATTTAGGAAGGCTTTTCCTAGGGTTTGACGGGATGCTTGTTCTTTCCTGTAACATGATTCCTAGTTGTCTCTCTGAGTTTGCCACCAGATTTGTCCTCTGACTCGCTGGGCTGTGGCCCCTGAGCTCTGGTTGCTTCTTGCCCTTGGTGGCAGAAAGCCCCCCATTCCCCAGCCCTGTGGAGCTTGTGCTGCTTCAGGGAGGGCACAAAAGCCTGCCCTTGCTCAGGCCCTGGTGGTTGAAGCAGGTGGAGAGGGCAAAGATGTGAGGCGGGCATCTGGTCTCACCCTCTGGTCCCCCAGGCTCGTGGTAGCCGTGGAGGAGGCCTTCACTCACATCAAGCGACTGCAGGAGGAGGAGCAGAAGAACCCCAGGGAGGTGATGGATCCCCGCGAGGCAGCCCAGGCCATCTTTGCATCCATGGCCCGTGCCATGCAGAAGTACCTTCGGACCACCAAGCAGCAGCCTTACCACACCATGGAGAGTATCCTGCAGCACCTGGAATTCTGCATCACGCACGACATGACCCCCAAGGTGGGCCCGCGGCTCCTAGTGTCCTTCCTCTCTCCCCAGCTTCTGGTCCTCTTTCTGTCCACCTTCACTTTCTTTTGTTGTTGTTCTTTTTTTTTTTTTTTGCAGTATTAGGGATTAAACCCAGGGGTGCTCTATCACCGAGCTCCACTATAGCCCCAGTCCTTTTTACTTTTTATTTTGAGGCAGGGTCTTGCTAAGTTGCTGAGGGTAGACTTAAACTTGTGATTCTTCTGCCTCAGTCTCTCATGTTGCTCAGATTGCAAGCATGAGCCCCCACACTCAGCCTCCCTGTATTCCCTTATTTCTCACCTCATTCTACCCCTCTCTCTCTCTCTCTCTCTCTCTCTCTCTCTCTCTCTCTCCTCTGCCTCCTCCTCCTTATCATCTCTTTTCTCATCCCTACCTCCTCTACCCTGTCTGCATGGAGTAAAGTCCTTAGGTAGATGAAGCAAAGGTGGACTTCAGAACTAATTGGGAGAAGACAGACCCGTTTCTCATTTTTATAAGGACTCTGGAATTTCCAGGTGCAGAGTCCCACCTTTACCCGTGACCCCTTTCACCTCCCCAATGGTCTTTGACCTGTGCTCATTTTCAGCCATTGCCCACCACACAACTCAATTGCCAGTTTCCTAGACTGGCTCTCCCTGAGCTGCTCTTCATCAACAGGGGACTAAAGATGTAACCTGTCCCCTGCTAGCTCCCTCGTAGTGCAGACCTGCTCGGCGCTGATTATACAAGATACATGGGAGGGAGGGAAGGAATAACGAGGGAGGGCTTGTCCAGATCACAGCACAGAGGATGGGGGTCAGGGGACCCAAGTTCAGTCCTGACTCTGTGGAGCCATATCATTTCTATGGGTGCTGTCTTTTTTTATCCATCAATCAATTCTGCTCTGACATTCCAAGATATTAGTTCATATGCAGCGTGAGCCTGGGGACATGCTAGGTGTTTTTGGAAGCTGTGCCCAGGAGATGAAGGACAGTGGGAGGGTGAGACAGATTCCTAGGCAGTCTCTTCTCCCCTCCTCAGGCTTTCCTGGAGCGGTACCTGGCAGCTGGACCCACCATCCAGTACCACAAGGAACGCTGGCTGGCCAAACAGTGGACACTGGTGAGCGAGGAGCCGGTGACCAATGGGCTTAAGGATGGCATCGTTTTCCTCTTAAAACGCCAGGACTTCAGCCTGGTGGTCAGCACTAAGAAGGTGCCCTTCTTCAAACTCTCCGAGGAATTCGTGGATCCCAAGTCACACAAGTTTGTCATGAGGCTGCAATCGGAGACCTCCGTGTGATCATGCAACTGCAGGGGAGTGGGAGACGCGGGGGCTTCTGCGGGGCGGGAGAGGGGCTTGGTTCTCAGGCCCCGCCACGTTCCTGCTGCCCTTTTCCCTCTTGCTCTTGTTTTTTTTACTTGAATTAACTCACCCCTCGCCCTGTCTCCTTCCCTCTTCCTTATTTTGCCCACGTAAACCTGGAGAGATCATCCTGCTGTTAACAGTACCTGGGAACCCCCGTGCCCCCACTTTTATATCCCTCCAGGCCCTGCAGGAATCAGTGCCTCATCTCCTCCTTTTCCCTAGATGTTGGTCCCTTCTGAAAGGGCCCAGGCCCTCTTGATGGTCCCTTCCCTTCCCACGCCCCCACTCTCAAGCCCAAGTCCTTCTAGCCGTTCTCTCCAGTGGCCCATGACAGGTTTTTCTCCAGGGGTATGGCTTTGACCCCAGAGAGCCGCAGTGCCAAACTCCTCCAGGGCAGTGGGTATCTCCCCCCTGCCCCTTCACCCCACTCATAACAAACCCAGAGAGTTCTTGGGCAGGGAGGCTCCGGCCACAGAGCCCAAGAGTTAGGAGCCTCCCTGTAGCGTGATTTGCTCCCAGCTACCCTCCCCCATCCACATATATTTAGAGCAAGGGAAAACCCCGTCCTTCACCTGGAAGTCTCCACCTGCCAGCTCTGATGGTATGATCTGATGGTAGGATCACACGTGACCACAGGCAGACTGCGGTGGAAGGCCTCTGACCACTTCACCAGGGCCCTGGGGGAAAGTCCAGTGGCCTTAGGATAGATCCTTGAGGTCAGAGAGACACTTGTCACTGACCCCTGCCCTCTCCACCTGCCCTGACCTTCCTTCTGACTCTTCTCAATGAAGGACAGACTCACTGGCAAACAGTCCCTGAGCCACACCGTGGTCTCGACAGATGCTCTGCTTCTCTGCACCAGCCGCCCCAATCCTGCTGACTTCTCTTGGCTCCCGAGACCTGTTGCCTCATCTGTTTTTGGGGGAGGAGCCTGCAGCTCCTCCTTGTTCCCTGCCTTAAGTCCAGTTCTTTGCCTCAGGGGTCTCTTTTCCATGGCCTTCCAGGGTCCCCCCCTCTCCTGTTCTCCTCTGGTTCTCTGGGCACTGTATTGGGGTGAGACACCAGGATTACTGCCTTTTGTGGGTACACAACCCCTCACCCCATTTTGGCTTCCATCACCTTTGCACCAAATCTGAATTCTCTCAACAGTTTAGGTCTCATTGTGAGCAAAATCCACTGGCACCCTAAGGCATATTTTCAGAGTAAATTTGAGCTTATACATGAGATGCCATCAGTGATGTACCAAGGGGGATAGAAGTAGGAAGCGCCCATTTAGATGTCCTTCTAGGATCCACTTCGAGAACTGTTCTTATGGCCGAGTCATGCCCCTGGGCCCATTCTTTAAATAACGCACAATTCTCCCGGATAGGCCCCTCTCTCCCCTGGGAAATTTGCCGGTACTTTCCTTGTAAAGCACATTCTGGGATAAGATGCCCGTTGAGCTCTCGCCTGGGAGGCTTTGTCTCTGTCGTGATGACCTAGTGATTGGATTTTCTCCTGTCCTTTCTGAAAAGGCACATCTCTCTACCTACCATGTAGCTGGTTTGTCAGTCAGTGCTTTTCTTGTCCCTGGTCTCCAGCAGGGGGCCTCTAGATTAGCACTGAGCTGGGGCTGGGGACCTCGGATAGGCCCATGTGAAATATATGCTGTCCTGGGGGGTCCTGGGAGAGGTATCTTATATTTAAAATAAAATCTGGTTTCAGAGGAGTCCCTCTGGGTCACATAAATACCTCACTGTCCTGGAGAACAAGACCCGGATGGTGACTGGGGTCATGGCCTTTGTGGGCAACAGCAGGGTGTATGTCGTGTGGTTTGGGTGCGTGGCTAGGGTGGACGGAAGGAAGTTATTTGTGATCATGGTTGCTGCCCTAAGTTAGGGATAGGGGGAGTGTTTATTTTAAGAACCTGCCATGTTTTTAATCACTGTGATTTTTTCATTCCTTTTTCCTAAAAAACAAAAAAGAGAAACCATTCCTCCCTCCCCCCCACCCCCCAACTCTTTCTCTAAGCACTAAGGGCTGTGACTGAGAATGGTAGTGTTTTGGTCCTTTGCGTCAGAACTGTGGTATCTTTGTCTTTTTTTGGTTATTATTATTAATATTTTTTTTTAAATGTCAGGATGAATTGTCAAGTGTCTGGCTGTGCGTGTGTCCTTCTTCTCCCGTATGGGAATTGTCTTCATGCTGTGAACTGCTGGGGGATGGGCAGCTGGTCCCTGTGCGCAGTTTCCCCCCACCAGGCCGGTCCCACGGTCCCAGGGTCCCACGCTCTCTGGGTTTTCCATTCTTCCTGGGAGGGGGTGTGGGTCCCATGGCTCTCTGGGTTTTCCATTCTTCCTGGGAGGGGGTGTGCCCACGTGGGGCAGCTCTGCTCCATCCCCACAGGGGATGCTGGGATACCTTGCTGGGCATCTCCAGGGCTGTTGTTTCTATGACGACGGGCATCCTGGCTGCTCCCCAGCACACCTACTTGGCCTTCCTTTTCATGGCCTTGGAACGCTTTCTCCCCTCTCCAGCACACCAGGACACTGTGCCTCGGTCCTTCACCTACCTCGCCACTCTGCCACTGTCCCCATTGGTTCCCTACTCCTGAAGTGGTATTTTTGTCTCTCATTTATTCTTGTCTATGTCCCTACAGTCTCTCACTTTCTCCTTGCCATCCCCCTGCATTTCAGCCCTTAATTGTCGGCTTCCCCAGCCCACTCAGCATTCCCATGGCAAACCCTGGTGAAGCACCGGTGGTGAGACATTGGATCCCCGGAAGCTTCTCATCCGAGACATGTTCCCAGGGTTTGTGCTTCTCTTCTCTGCTGGGCCCAGATGAGCTCCCTTTCTTCTTTGTGGTGTGTCTGTCGGTCTGTCTTCTCTCCTCTGCCCTCCCCTTGGGGCAGTATCTGCTGTTGGACTAAGTCCTGGTGTGTGACTGTTGTGATTTTGTTCTCTGCGCAAAAGGAAGGGGCTTCTGGAGTCTCTTTTAAGTGAGATTGTAAATGTAGAATTTTCCACTGTTGGATCTAGATTTTTTCCTTTTTCTTTTCTTTCTTTCTTTCTTTTTTTTTTTTTTTGGGTTACAGAGCTGAGACATTGTGCATGCATGTAGAAAATTGTAAAATGTAAATTTTTTTTTAATATATAAAAAGCTTTGTTTTTACAGTTTGCAGTGGATCTAAACATTATGGCAATTTTAGGGATTTTTTTCTTAAACATAGGAAACTAAAACTGTATAAATTTTTTTATATATAAAATAAAGACATTTGACTTTTGTGGGGGCATTTTGTTGCTTTTCTTTCTTTTTTTTCCATAGGCATGGGAGCAAAAGAGGGCCCTGGGGCAGAGTGAATATAAATGGATCCTTGTTAGGGAGTGAGTGGGCAGCAGGGGGCAGTATGGGCTCCATATTGCTCCACAGGGCTTCAGCGGTTGAGAGCAATGAGAAAATAAACATTGCTGGTCTGAACCCGGATTTGTAGGAGAGCGAAATGTGAGGACTCCTTTGCCCTGAGGGATGGTTGTCGGGAGCATCTCTCTGGGTGCCTCCTCTGGAGCATGCTTGGTGTCTAGTTGACGGGTAGGAGTAGAGTTTCTAAGATGTCTTCTTTCCAAAACAGAAGATGCCGTAGGAGTTTCAAGGAATAGTTGGTGATTTCATTTGTTAGCAACAGCTTCTCACATTTCATTGTTGAAACTCTCCCCAAAGTTTATGTCATTTTACTTTATTTTACAATTAGAACATTTTCTATTCTTTTCACCTCTTATTGTTCAGAAGATAGCCTTGCATAATATGTGAAATAACATACTATCGCTCAAACTGTTTAAAGGCAAAGCACCTTTGGTGAAGCTGATCCACAGCCCAGAGCTCTCTGCTTATAGGATCTTGCTTCCTGGTTTTACATTAATTTCTGAAAATCAGAAATATATCCCAAAATGTTATAGGTGTTGTAAAAAAACAAAAAACACCTTGTTCAATATTTTAGTTTTAGAAGCATAGTGTGTCTGTGTATATATATATATATATATGTAAGTGTGTATATATATATATATATATAGTTCTGGATGAGTATTGAACTCACGGGTCCTCTACCACTGAGCTACATCCTCAACCTTTTTTATTTTTTACTTTGAGACAGGTCTCACTTACTTGCCAAGGCTGACCTTGAACTTGCCATTCTCCTGCCTTAGACTGCCAGACTGTGCCACCATGCCTGGTTATGTTTTCTTTAAGAAATGAAAAACTAAGAAAAGAATGTTACTTAGCCTTATTGGTACATTGAAAAAATGCTGTGATACACTGGGCTTTTACAGCAACAAATTCTTGTCTCAGCCTGAATGTTTTCACTTGTTACTTCTTTTACTGCTGCTCTTCATTCTTTTCCACATTTCATGGTAGAGGATTGGTGTAGTCTTTATTATTTTTATTTTCTTAATACTTAGGTACTGCTTACCATGTACCAGATAATGTCCTCATGGTGTAGCCTTTAAAGCATCGTTAATGTGCAAATCCAGTATCCGTTGATTTCTTAAAAGGCATTCTACCCTGACAGATAGCCCAGAGGTTTTGTTCTCACAAATACTCTAGCCATAAAAAAAAAATCGATAGAGCGTAAATGAATCCAACTAATAGGAGAAAAAAATCTGTTGAGTTTTGGAATTTTTTTATTAGATGGGTCCAGGATTGTGAAACTTAAACCTCCTACTGTAAGCAGGAAGCTGAATGTGAGTCCTTCCGGGTTATATTGTCCATTTACTCTGTAGGTCCAGAAAGCTACTGACCTCTGAGGCCCATATTTATCAGTCATAGAGCCAATGCTTGAAGGTTCAACAATAAAATATCATAAATTATTCCTCTGGTGATGAGGAAGTAAGACACCCCTCACCAGAGTGTACAGTACCGTTGCATGTGGCTGACAACTTCAGGTTGGGACATCTGAGCCTGAGAGTGAAACTTGTTACATTTTCATGTTGATGGTGTCAGGATTCTATTTCATGTTTTAAGAGATGGGGTCTTGCTGTGTTGCGCAGGCTGGCCTTGAACTCTTGGGTTCCAGCATTCCTCCCACCTCAGCCTCCCAAGTAGCTGGGACTGTAGGTGTGTGAGATGGCCTCTCTTTTATTTCTAAACGTGTAGCCTTTGTTTATTTGTCAACCTTGGTGCTTGTGATTCAGCTCTCGATTCATCATCAAGAGACCGGGGCCCTTTTCCCAGCTGTAGCCAGATATGATATTCTCTGTAATTGTGAACAAAATGCTTAGCATCTAAACAGTTTTCAGGGTTAAAAACCAAGCCAACCTAAACTTTCCTGTCTGGAGTGGGTTTATTGACTGGATTTAGTCCTCTTCACTCTACTCCTGGCCAGGCTTGGAGGATGTGAAGACAAGAGACTTGGTCCCCATAGTGGAGGAAGACCCGGTATACAGGAGGCACCAGCCCAGATAACCTCACGGGAGGTTGCTTGATGTGTGTGCTCATGGGAGGAGCACAGTGAGCTCTGGCTGATTCCAAGGAGTGTGGGGGACTCTCCTCCTTCAAGAGATTGAGGGAGTTTGAAGGTCAAGAGAGGGTAGCAGAATCTCCTTGAGATAAGTATCGCAGTTACATGTACCAGTTCTTCACATGAAGCTGTTGCTTAGTGAACAAAATCATTGAATGAATAATGGATTAAACTAACAATACTATATGCGCATATAAACAAGATCACATACTTGTTTCTTCTGTCTTTAAAAAACTCAAGTCTCTCAAGTGAAAACAAAAACACTTCCCTTGAAACTGCACCCCCATGCTCACAGCTTGCCTTTTTTTTGTAGCTAGTTTTGTGTAAGAATCATTTCATTTTCTGTTTTCAGTAAACCTCAAAATCAACTTTTGATTTATTGTGACAAAATTTCTACCCACCATGCCTTTGAAACAAAACAAAAAAAAATTTTTTTTTGATACCAGGTATTGAACCCAGGGGTGCTTAACCACTGAGCCACATACCCAGCCCTTTTTGATGTTTTATTTAGAGACAGGGTCTCACTGAGTTGCTTAGGGCCTTGCCAAGTTGCCTAGGCTGGCTTTGAACTTGCAATCCTTCTGCCTCAGCCTCCCAAGTAGCTGGGATTACAGGTGTGTGGCACTGTTCCTGACCCTTTGAAATAATTCTTAAAATATAACAAATGCCTGGAAGTCTTCAGTGCCTATGATGTTCCCAGTCAGGTTCTGAGGTTCTTTGACTGGTAAAGATGAAGGCTATGACTGTGCTTCACTGAACTAATTTTGGACCTTTGAGGAATCTCTATTTAACTACTGGACCTCTTCCCCTAAGTCTGCTTCCAAGAACTAGTAGACTTACGCCTGATTTCAAGGTTTCATCAATTTTGTATAGGGGTTTGCTTGTTATAAACAAGTGGTATTTGTAACTTTTAGCCCAGCGGTTGTATTTTTTTGTGGAAGTGCTTCATACATCACTGAAGATAGGGACTCAGCTTGGTGGATTGTCAGGATCCTGTCGGGGATTTCTTGACATTGGTGCCCATATGTGGTCATCTAGCTTTTGCCTTTGAAATGCAGTTTAGAGAGAGCAGGGGCCTGGGACTCAGGGTGAATTGACATAAGAATCTTAGACCCAGTTCTTAGTGAGTTGCTATTGGCTTTTTCTTT